GCCAAGTTATTTTGTTTTGTTTTGTTCTCAATATTTCTAATGTATATTTTTATTAATTTCAGAGAGGAAGGAAGAGGGAGAGATAGAAAGACACATCAATGATGAGAGAGAATCATTGGTTGGCTGCCTCCTGCACCTCCCACACTGGGGATTGAGCCCAAAACCCAGGCATGTGCCCTGACTGGGAATCACAGATTAACACTCAACTACTGAGCCACACAGACTGGGCAGGCCATGTTTTATTCAATTCTGCAATTTGAAGGCTGAGCACTGTACTTTGCCCATAGATGCTGCCCAAGAAATGCCTATGGGAGAAATTACTGATTGAACAAATGGATGAATTTAGACTGTCCTATAATGCCTGGGATTTCAGAGGGAGGCAAAACTAGACATGCACTATGGGGCAGGGAGATGGAGGGAGCCCTTCCAATGGGGAGGGTGCTTACAAATTCTCCCAGTGGCCCTGAGCTTTGGAAGTAATTGGAAATATGAAATATGTGCAAGAGGGCATTCTTCAGCCTTTTTTCTCTTTCTTTCTTTCTTTCTTTCTTTCTTTCTTTCTTTCTTTCTTTCTTTTTCTTTCTTTCTTCTTCTTAGTGAGAATGTTTTTCCATTGGTTTTTAGGGAGAGTAGAAGAAAGAGAGAAAGACAGAGAGAAACATCGATGTGAGAGAAACACATCAATTGGTTGCCCCCTGCACAAGCCCTGATCAGGACCCTTGACTGGAATTGAACCCAGGACCCTTTGAACCCAGGCTGAAACTCTATCTGCTGAGCCAAACCGGCTAGGGCAAACATGTCAAACTCAAAGGCTAACACGGGCCAAATAAATGAGGTATGTGGCCTTCAGGCTGCGAGTTTGACATGCTTGGTCTAAAGTGATTAAATTCAAACCAGTCAGTCCAAGACTAATGACATGGCAATTGGCTGCTAAAATATTAGCTGCTAGTATTAGTGGAGAGAAATGGTGCGCCTGCGCGTATGGCGCTTAGGGAAATGAATGCAACATGATTATAGTAATCAGTCAGCGAATGTTGTAGTTCATTATTAATAATTATGTATAACAGGATATTGTAAAAATTAAGTTACAAAATTTTTATTGAAACGTTTCTTACATACCATTATATTGGCTGGGCTGCAAAAATATTCATTGTGGGCTGCATGTGGCCCATGGGCCGCGAGTTTGACATGCTTGGGCTAGGGCTTTAGCCTTTTCTAAAACTGGAGAGAAATTCCCCTTTCTCTCCAGTTTAGGCATCACATTTCCCTTCATCAGGACTCTAGCCCTTACCCTCAACACCCTGAGACCAGCATTCAAAGCTCTCCACAATCTGCTTTTATATGGATCAGGGTCAGTCAACCAGAGAAACAGACACAGTAGATGTACATTGAGGGATTTATTGTAAAGAATTGACTTATACCATTGTGGGGGCTGGATAGGCAAATCTGAAATCCATGGGACAGACCATCAGGAGAGGCAGGCTAAAATTATCTAGCAACAACTGAAATTGCAGTCCATAAGTGGAATTCCTTTTTTCCTCAGGGAAACTTCAGTTCAGCTCCTAAAACCTTCCAACTAATTGAATCAGACCTACCCAAATTGTCTAGGAAAGTCTCCTCTACAAAAAGACAACTATTAAGAATGTCAAAAAAAAAAAGAATGTCAATCACATCCATAAAAGATTCTCACAGCAATGCCTAGATTAGTGTTTGATTTAATAACTGGGACCACAGCCTAGCCAAGTTGACAGATAAAATTGACCTTCATAGGCTTCTAGTTGCCTGCCTTTTCTAAGCTTTCAACCTACCTTCCCTCCCCTCCCCTTCCCCCACATTTGCCAGCCCTGGGGCCTTTGCTAAAACTCTTATCTCAGCTTTCTATCCCTAGGTTGCAATCCTTAGTCTTACAAGGCCCATTTTCTAAAGGGCTATTTCAAATCCTCTCAATTTGATTACATTTCTCATACCTCCATACTTAACCTTATTTCTTTTTTTAAATATATGCTTATTGATTTTAGAGAGGAAGGAAGAGAGAGAGAGAGATAGAAACATTAATGATGAGAGAGAATCATTGATTGGCTTGCTCCTGCATACCCCACAGTGGGAATTGAACGGTGACCTCCTGTTTCATAGGTCAACTCAACCACTGAGCCACATAGGCCAGGCTTAACCTTATTTCAGTAAGTATCCCTCTTGCCTGCTTGGGGGAAAGGATTGTGTACTATTCACCTCTTGTGTACCCACTCTCCAGAGGCCCTAGCATTTAGAAGGATCTCAATACATTTGGTTTGAATTATATCAAACTTACAGAAACCACCACTATGTACATAAAACTCAGCTACATGCCTTTCAAACCCTCATCCCTTAGGATCCTTATGCCCACCCCATACACATTGTCCCTTTACTGGTGGTCTAATTTTTTTTCTATATTATTTTAACTCAAGTCTTTAAACTTTCGACTCAGTATTACTTTGCTGTAGATATTGCCTAAGGCCCACCTACTCCTAAAGAGGTATTCTAAGGCCCCTCCCCCATGCCCTGACATTGGTTACAGTTACCTTTCAGAGAGAAAAAAAGAAACAAAGAAAACAGGATTTGTATACACTTTTTGGAGTTTATGGATCAGATTACCTAGTGTCTGCCCGAAGGGGATGTTTAATCTAATGAGTTTATTATTAGATAATCTAATAGCTCATTCCTTTATCTTCTTCAGGTCTTTGTGGGTTTTTGTGTACGTGTGTGTGTTTATAGCAAAGGTGGGAATTTACTGAAGAACAAGTACAGACTCCCAGGTGGGGAAGGAGAAAGAATCTTACAGCACAGACCCCCACGTGGGGAGGGAGAAAGAGTCCCCTTCAGGTGTTTGTTTTAATGTTATCTTCCCAGATAGGCCTTCTCTGACTACCCTACTTTCAATGTTTCAGTCTCTCAAATCAATAAATTAAAAGAAAATTTTTTAAAAAATAAGATAAAATAAAATTTCACTCTCCCTTCCCCCTACCACTATCCTGGGACATTATCCCACTTCCTTGCCTGATTTTCCTCCATATCATTTATCACCATTTGACATATATTTTACTTACGTGTTTGATGTTTGAGAATGTAAACTCCATGAGAATAGGTTTTTTTTTATTGTCTACTGCTGTATTCTCTGAGCACAGAACAGAGCCTGGCACATAAAAAGTACACGATAAATATAGGGTGCCCCCCCAAAATGTATACACACACTTTGAATAACTATAAAGGCAGTGTTTATTAATGCACAGTTCATTTTCAAAATTGAGCCACCAGCTGTTAAAGTGGATATACATTTTTGGGGACACTCTGTATTTACTGAATAAGCTAATTCCTTGGGGGCAAATAAGTTATAGTCCCCTGGATGTCTAGCACACTGTCTGGTATGCAATAAAACACTCAGTAAATATTTGATGAATGAACTGTGATGGAAGACTATTAATATTCTACCTTGCATTTTACTTCCTTCTCCAAATACTTCTATATACCTCGGCCTACATTGAATTCTAAACTTGTAAAAGTATGACAAAAGGTCAAAAAAGAGAGTTTCTCCATGGACACCACTGCCAATGGCAGTACAGGTAAGATAGGAGGCTGCTTTAAGTGTTTTCTGCCGTTGCCACTTGGACAAATCACTTCTCATCTCTGGGCCTCAGTTTCACCATAAGTAAAATGAGGCTAGTAGATTTCTGAAATCCTTTCTATATTGTTTTTTGGGGGGAGTTGTACATCCATATGTGTAAAATATATAATCTAAAGTGAGGGAAATAATAATCAGGTTGGTGTCACCTCCCCTCTTCCTCTTTGGTACAGCCTTCCCAGTGGCCCCCTTCCCTGCTGCTCCTTCAAAATTCTGTAGTGTGCGGGAGAGGGGTCACTTCTTGGAAGCTTCTGCCTGAGCTGCCAAAACTGTCTCCTTCTGAGCAGCAAAGAATGTGCTGCTCATAACTACAATTGTACAATTCTAAAATTGTATGATTTTTTATTTTAAAATTGTACTTGTCTCTTACTTCTAAAGCATGGTTGGAATATACCTAATGAAAATGTATAAGAATACAAGCTCTCTGTGGTCCAATTAGCATGCATCATCACAAAGCATGGTGTAAAAGGCCACATTAGCAATTTGCAGATGATGATGTTGAGGCTCACATGGGGCAGATATGACCAAAAACTAGGTTTTCTGATTCACTCAGGGCTCTTTATCCAAAGTCCAATAAATACACTCTATTTTCTCTCTTTTCCAAGCATTCGGTAAATCAGACCTTTATTGCCCAGATATTTTGGAAAATTCTTACTCCTTCACTCGTTTGAACATACTGGGTCCCAGCGTTAGAAACAAAAAACAGCTTTCTCTTGCAGTGTCTGGTTTATTAGGTGGTGTGCCTTGTCACTTTCCCCAAGGTGAAACTGCCATAATTGCAAAGGGCAAACAAACTCTGTATGCGCCAGTGCTAAGGGTATCTCTCTGTGATGGAAATGTGTTTTAATTTGGCCCCGTCCTTATACAGTGATAAAAACCACTCATGTTCAGAAACATGCAAACTCATGTTCAGAAATCTCCCCTTCATTCTGATGAACTGTGGCTGCCATCCTGATAAACAGATCTTCTGAAAAGAAACTATAAACCAGAGCCAGACTTGCTTTCTGGTGCTGAAGGGGAAAAGCAGGGTAGTTGATTTCCCGCCAGCGGAAAGATCTGGTCCTACACGTCACCAGCATCCCTCCACCCTCCTCAAGAGCGGAAGGTTTCAGCGCTC